CAGCCCTCGCCTCACACCCCCGAGGGGCTCCCTCTACACAGAACCACAGCCCTCACCCTCCCATCAGGCCCGTCGGATTCCTCCTCCTCGTCTGAACTCTCCACAGAGCCAGTGCGAGACGGCTACCCACCCTGCCACCTGTGCTCTGTGCGACAGAGTCCCGGGGCAATGGGGCCAATGTCCCCCACATGTGTCAGGCCGAGGTCGGTGGTCAGGAAGTCCCCTGGGGACCATGGTGTGATCTGTCCTCCTCAGCCAGCCTTTGGGGGGCGTGTCACCGTGGAGGACACATCTGCTACCCCCCCCGGCACGCCCCCAAGGTCACAAAAATGGGGAGGCCCTGGACCCAGCCAGGGGACCCACTCCAGGGAGCCCTTGACTCTGACACCTGTGTGTCCAGCCCTGCTCAGGAAGACCCCTCACCCGGCAGTCAGAGGGGCCCTCATGGTGGGGGTCCAGTCGCTGGAGCCAGAGTCCCACTCACCTGGGGCCGACAGGTGACCTGGAGTCAGGCTGTGACAGCCTTGGCTGGAGCTCACGGCTTGCACCCTCCCCAGACCCGGGGCCCATCAGACCTGACCCCTCCAAGGCCAGGTTCTCCTCACCCCATTAACCCTTGGCAGATGGCCCTGAGGCCTCACCCCACTGAGCCCATCACCCCCAGATGTCTGGGGTCCCTGTGCAGTCAGGGCTGGGGAGGGGGCTTTGCAGGAGCAGCCACTGCCAGCACCCACACAGCAACCCCCCCGGCCTCCCAGGGCCCGCTCGGCTCCCCAACACCAAGCTGCCCCTGGTCCCACAGCAGGTCCTTAGCGTGCATCTGCTGGGTCAGTTGCAGGCCTAGGGAAGAGAGAGGTGGCCTGGAGGCCCGAGTCCCCGGCGCAGCCTCCCTGGCAGGGTCAGGCGCTCAGCCATTCTCACCGCAGCTTTGCAGGAAGGTTTGGGAAAATGGAGGCTGTGGAGAGTGCACAGGACGGGCATGGAGCTCTAGATCAGCCTAAGAGCATCACAGATGGTGACAGCTGGCCCACAGTGGCAGAAAGCAAAGCCCCCCGTCAAAGTGTGGCAGCAGCATGGAGACCTGGAGACGGACGGAGCACAGGAACAACCCGAGCCATCACCCTGCACCTGCAGCCAGGTGACCTCCGGCAGGAGCTCCAGACCGTGCAATGGGAAGAGGACAGTCTTTCCAGCAAACAGTGCTGGGAAAACGATCTCCACGTGGAAAGGAATGAAGCTGGTCCCTTTCCTAACAGCATACACTAAATTAACACAAAAAACTCAGGATGGAACACCTAACCATGGGAGCTCAAACTATTAAACTCCTAGAATAAAACACGGAAAATCTCTGCGACATTAGATTTGGCAGTGAGTTCTCGGATGTGACACCAAGAGCACCAGCAACAAGGGAAAATAAATGGCTTCATCAAAATTCGACATTTCTGGCCGGCTGCAGTGGCTCACGCCTGTAATCCCAGCACTTTGGGAGGCCGAGGCAGGTGGATCACCTCAGGTCAGGAGTTCAACACCAGCCTCTCCAACACGGAGAAACCTGTCTCTACTAAAAATACAAAATTAGCTGGGTGTGGTGGTGTGAGCCTGTAGTCCCAGCTACTCGGGAGGCTGAGGCGGAACTGCCTGAACCCGAACCCGGGAAGCGGAGGTTGCAGTGAGCCAAGATCACGCCACTCCACTCTAGCCTGGGCAACCAGAGCAAGACTCCATCCAAAAAAAAAAAAAAAAAACGGTGGCTACAACGTGACAGCAAGCTGCCCTGAGCTGCTGTCCGTCTGCAGGTAGCCCGGCCCCACAGGAACAGCCACGGCTGTAACCCCACCTCTCCAGTAAAGCTGTTTCCTTCCACGTCTGGCTCACGTCGAGCTCTCCTGTGCAAAGCCGAGACCCCACCCGGACTAAGCTCCACTTTGGGGCTCACCTGCCATGCATCAAAACAGTGTGGCAACGTGGAGACTCCGGGAATTCCTCTGAATGTTTGGCGAAGGTAGATTACCACGTGAACCCGCAGCCCCACGTCCACACACGGACCTGGTTGGGCTGGCGACGGGGACATGGCGTGCCTGTGCAGGGACACTCACAGCAGCCCAGAAGGCGTGAGTGGATGAACAGACGAGGCGTGGTCACCTGTGAGCATTACCCGGCCACAAAGAGGAACCACGCCCCGACGCCAGGAGGCGCCTTGAGAACCTCGTGCCGGGTGAACCCAGCAGACACAGACACTGCTCAGGCAATGCCACCTCCAGAACATCCGGACAGAGAAACCCACAGGGACGCATGGCAGAGAAGAGGCAGACAGCACACTCAGGGCTGCTGGCGGGAGCAGGGAGAACGGGCACAATGGCTGACGGGTCCAGAGGTTCTCGGGGCGGGGTGGGGGGGGCGAGTGATGGAAATTTCCGGAACTAGGTAGAAGTGTTAAATGCACCACACTGCTGGCTTTTAAGTGGTTAATTTTATGTGTCAGCCTCATCTCAGCCTCTTCAAATACAGCAAAGCAGAATCTCCTAAGCGTCCTGAGACCCTGGGCTTCCCTGCCCCAGGGCCCAGAGCCTCACCCTCCAGGGGCCAGTGGAACTGAGGATGCCAGGCAGGGAATACACTTTGTCCCTTCTCTGCCGCGGGCCCGGGGCTAGAGCCACTGAAGACCGAGCCTCAGGGGGCACCTGGAGGATGCCGGTTACCACTAAAGTGCCACACGGAGCCACCAATGGTCCTGCAGGCTCTGGTGATGGCCCAGGTCACGGACATATAGACATCAATTCACCGAGGACCACGTGAGCCAATGACAGGCGATGCCGGCCATTCTGAGCCCGTCACCGCCTGGACAGCTTGCTCCAGATGCCCACCCAGCCCTCACCCAGACCCATGTGGCGCTTAGCGAGTGGCCTTCCACATCAGGCTGGTGGCTCTCCGCACCACCCAGCGTTTAGCTGGGC